ATGAGTTTGAATGAGACTTCCTTCACCTTGCTGGTGAGACGAAAGTGAATGGGTAACAGCCAAGTATGTTTCCAGGACAAATCGGTTCCAATATGGAGCAACAGCAGGAACAGTCGCCACCTCTCTCTGAAAGAGGGATCTGATTGACTTATTGTTCTTATGAAGAGACGAGGTGAGACATATTTTTCCAACAGGAGAGTCCATAGGAGTCAGAGAAGGAGATGAAGAGCAATCGAGTCTCTGCTTCTGTCTGTACAACATGCAAATCCCAGCTGAAATAGAACCAAAAACCTTTGCATATTCTCCAGAAGAAGCAGGGAGGTTAAATTTAGAGAGGAACCCTTCATAATTCAATAAGGTCCCATTATCATCAAACAGTTGATCAACCAGAGTACCATACCAGGACTGAACCACAGATCCAAAAACAATGACCTTTTTTCTGTACAGCATGTCCTAATTGTTCCCAATGAAATACAGGTGAGGTGAAAGATGTGCTTGTAGATAAGTGACCATGACAAAAAAGCCTGGCAATGGAAATTGTAGTTTGATAAGAATTTTATGTGTATCAAAATTACAAACCAAGAAAAAGGTTAAACCCCCAGGTTTTTAGAAAATGTCATGAGGAATAGTATTCCATATCGAAGTTTAAGATGCGAAAAACTGGTGGATCCAATTTATCTTCAGTGTTATTTAAGGAAGAGAAAGATCAACAGTTAAGCCCTCCATTTTCAAATGAGTTAATTAAAGTAGATTTTCCAATGTAATGGGTCCTATTCGTCCAGACAAAGTTAAAGAGGAATTTGTCAATTTCCTTTTCAGTGCCTTTATCAAGATCTAGAGCCTGAGCAGCATAAGTTAGCCTAGAGATGCCCTCAGCCTTAGTAGGAAGAATACGACCTCATAGTGAAAGATCCCTTACCAACCACTGATTAAGTTTCATTTTAGCTTTTATAATTAAAGGATCAAAATTTAAGGAGCTATGATTTTGTTGTTCTTTTGTAATGGTTATGCCTACATAAACAACCTCGTTTTTAACTGGAATGCCTTCAATTGATGTCTCAGTGCAATCTTTAGCTGCCATAATCTCACACTTTTTGAGATTCAAATGCAGACCAGAAGCTTTTGAGAAATTATTTAATACTTGGATCACTAATGAAATTTGATTCTTGTCCTTTAAGAACAGGGTAGTGTCATCAACCAGTTGTGTTAGGAAAAGTTCACTGGAAATTGTACTTCTCTCTGTATTATAAAGCATTTTCTAATAAAGTTTATAAAAAAGCAAAAACAAAAAATAACGTATTTTATTTGACAACGACTTTCAAAATAACCAAGACCAATATTAACATCAAAAATACAAATTAAACAGTAAAGAAATGGCTAGAAAATGTGATATGTCACATGGCAGGTACCTTTTTCATTTTTAAATCTTTATCAAATCTTTATTTAAAATTATATTAGTAACAAACAATCTAAAATAAGCCAAAATAAGGAATCATTATGGAGATGTATTTATCTATTCTTACATCTATCTATCTATCTATCTATCTATCTATCTATCTATCTATCTATCTATCTATCTATCTATCTATCTATCTAAAAAAAAAAGCTATAAAACATGAATCCAATCAATATTTTGGAGATAAATGTACATCACATTAAGAGCACATTTATCCATTCATTAATTATCCTTATAGTGGGGTCATGAGGGCTGCTGACCCTGGACAGATCTTCAGACTATTGCAGATTAAGAAAACAAATATAAACAAATACTTGCTGGTGCTGAAGTTCAAATAATAGATTTTGATGTTGTGAATGGTACTCTTAAAATAAATTAAAACATCAAATATAATAGCCTTTGGCTTATTTAAAAGGAACTAGATGGAAAAGAGGTTTGGTCAGTAAAACATTTAGTCAACAATTTTGGCCAACTTGGTGCGTCCATTCTTGGTTGCAGGTGACCTGGCTCAGCTATTATTGTTGTTTACCGTGTCTTATTGGAAACCTTTGCTATAAGGACTCCAGCTCAACCAGTAAACTGATTTATGTCCCACTATTCCATTTAGAAATTCCACATTAATTTTACCAGTTGCAATAGATTCATGATCTGCACTCTAAAAACTTGAATATCAAATTATTATATATTTCAAAACCCAAAGTGTTTAAAGGAAAATTCCGGTTTTTAACACTTTTAGCCCCTTTTCTGTAGTGTCCAGGATGAAATCGAATGATCGACACCAAAATTTTGACGATTGGTCCTGTCTCGGCTATTTGGCTCATGCAGAATCCCCCCCTGGCTGCTTCAGAATGGCTTTCATAGTGCATGTCCGATAATGTCCTTAAAACAACCTTAAACCTTCTTTTTTTAAAATATGCTACTCACCGGGTCGTCAGCGCTGTTCAATGACGTTCCAAAAAAAGTTTCGTAAAGAAAAACCGTTCCTGTCTTGTTTTATTTAGCATTTTGTAAATCCCAGAACTATTTTTTCCGATACATCACAACCGCTTATAAACTTCCGCTTCCCGTTCGAATCTGAAGCTTTGCACACTCCAGACCACTAGTTGGCGACAATGTCTCTATATACTCCTCCTCAGTATATTCCGGTTCAAAACGGTATCCTCTACCGTCAAACTCAAAGTCCAATATGTCCTCCTCAAGAATCCACCTTTTCGTATTCCATTTTCAGAGTTTTTTAAAGTGTTTAACAGAGACGTTAGCACCTCGACGTCGGAGTACACAGAGTGAAGCATTGCCATTGCCGGTTCCGGTGGTGGAGGGATATTGACTATTCCAACAGAACTCAATGGGATTTACAAAATGCTAAATAAAACACTACAGGAACGTTTTTTCTTTACGAAACTTGTTTTTGAACGTCATTGAACAGCGCTGACGACCCGGTGAGTAGCATATTTTAAAAAAAGAAGGTTTAAGGTTGTTTTAAGGACATTATCTGACATGCACTATGCAAGCCATTCTGAAGCAGCCAGGGGGGGATTCTGCATGAGCCAAATAGCCGAGACAGGACCAATCGTCAAAATTTTGGTGTCGATCATTCGATTTCATCCTGGACACTACAGAAAAAGGGCTAAAAGTGTTAAAAACCGGAATTTTCCTTTAATTAAAACTTTAAATGTAGCTTTTAGAAATTTTATTTGACAAGAAATAATCTTAGGCGCTCAGAGCCCAGGCAGTAGACATTGCGCTGGTAACCGCCAGAGAGAATGATCTGCTGTGGATGAGTTATTTTCTATATGAAAACCTTTTGAATAAAGTAACTGGATACATAAATTAAACCAATGAGTAATTTCTAACTAAAACTTTCTTCAACTCCCCCGCTCAGCCAATCACCTGATCATGCGCCTCCATCCCCGCCTAACGGCGCCGGCCTCATCTCCTCCACCCTTCATAAAGTCCAGCTTAATGTGTGCAACTGCTTCTCACCTGAGCTTCCATCACCTCTACCCCATCTACACCTTCGCTCTGCTCGTTTAATCTTATGTTTGTGTCTGAACAATATGTTTCTGTATGTATATTACAAAAAAAACAAAACAAGTTGATTCTGACTGTTAAAACATAACTTAGCTGTATGTCAGGTTTGTAAAGAACATTTGTATTGATTCCAATCAATTTTCAAAACGTATAGGAAGCATTGTATATTGCAAGTTATTATCTTTGCTTGCATTTAAAATATCTAAAATAAGGTTATTCTATTGTTAAACAACGCTGTTACAATATGTTTCCAACGACTTTATTGGTTCTACTCTCTCTCCAACAAATTAAAGCAACAATTTCTATGAAAACTAAATAACTTAAATCAACTGAGCTACAACAAAAGGAACATTCAAAAATGTACATAATATTGAAAGAACACATTATGAAAAAGGATGACTAGACAAGTCAAAGGGGAAATGTACTTTATTAGAAATGATTTTAAATGGCATGAAAAAACTAACAATGTGTGAAAACTGTAATGTTTGACAGATTCAGTGTTGGCACCAGTATGCCATCACAGTAATAAGGAGGGTACCGTCCTCGTTTTCCATTGCCGGTGAAGCCCACACAGTCTTTATATGGCCGATCGCAGGAAGAAAACGTTAAAAACTGCAAAAGGGATCCGGTTTTGTGCTTTGAATGTTTTTGAAAATTTGCCCCAGTTGATCTCACCTCTGAATGAAAAATCGATTTTATGTAGTTAAAATCTAATTTCACTTGTTTTAGGTGAAAAAAGTCAAAGGTCCTTACCATCCAGCCAAGCAAAGTGAGTCTTCTTCTGAAAAAACAGGTTCAGACACAATGGCTTGAAAGGACTTTCATGAGGTAAGCTGAGTCTCTCTATGCAAGAATCACCTCCTGGAGAACAGCTTCAAGCACAGGCAAAGGCACCTGAAACCCCCCCTACCCAAAAACAAAATAAAACACAGGTGTATTGCAAGACTGTCATACTGGAGGAATGGCTATGACACATGTGTTTATGAATGAATCTTACCTGTAAGATTGATGGTATCCTTTGTACCTGCATGGTGAAGAGCATTAAACAATTTTAGCACTTTATATCTCTCTGTATCTTATCCCTTCCATCTCTAATGTATAAGAATGCTGTGCAAATAATGAATTTTATTTTTTTTTCTAAATCATTTAGTGTTTTAGTCTCATTAGCACATAAAGATATACAAATCAAAATTACTAGTTATGTGTAAATTAAAAAAAATGTACCTCAATTTGTGCCTGGGCTGTTTTGCCATAGGTGTGGTCATCAGCTCAGAGTCTGAAAAAATACAGAGATTTTCTAAGTGAAAGATGAATGCAAGTCTGAATAACATCAAAACTGCTTCAACCCTTTTAATTGTTCTATCCTGATTTTCTTTCAGACTTAAAAAAATAAGCTTAGAACAAAAGTACTCCGTGAATGGATATAATACAAATTACATGATTCAAAACTACAAAGTGATGAATTTTAGCTGTAGCTTTCCTCACATGTTGCCCTCTCACCAACCTTTTTTCCCTTTTTCTCCTGTTATACTTCTTCTATGGACCTTTTTAAAAAAGGACAAATTGAAGGTTTTCTTTAAAAAACTCACATATGTGTAACATGACGTGGTACAGTGCACCATTACTGTTCTTACCTCACAGAGAAGGTTTTCAGGAGAGAGAGACACCACCATCTGCATATTGTTATCATATCATCCTGTGGACATCACAGGCTCACATTTAATGAAATCTCCAACAGAAAGCATAGACTCTCATCTGTATCCTTACCTCACTGAATTCAAATGATGCTCCCATTACAAAGTACAGTGCATACTGTTGGAGGCAGATGTTACCATCACTAAGAACATCCCGCAGTAGTTGGACAATCCTTGTTTAGGCAATCCCTGTGTTGTTTAAGACAAAATTCAAGAAGGGAGAAGAACATTAATGCGCCATTACAATAAAATTGAGGTATAGGAAAAGAGCCTTACCAACAGTATTGATTATAAACATTTAAAGCAGGAATGGTTGGAAATAAGCAGCCTTGTTATTTATACAATGCAGATATGTTTAAACAAAATGTGGTTCATTCCCACTTAAAATAGAGCAGGATCAAAACGCAATAGCTACTAACATAAAAGAAAACATCATTACGCATCAGGAAATATACAAATGACTGGTAGAAAAAAGGCATGTTTGAATTAATCCCTGTAGATTATTTCACATTATTGTTACTGTTTTGTAGAATTTAACAATTATTTTTCGACAATGGCTTCCAGACACCAAATATATATTCAGCAAAAAAATTATTGAAATTGTAAAAGTGATTTTGGTCAAACAGGTATTAATTAATTAGATTTACTCAATTACTCTGTAACTTTTGACAAAATAACAATAATAATAAAAATAAATAAGGGCTCTTTTTCCATATGTTATACTCTTGAGTAAAGTTTGTTGATATGCAACCTAATGCAAGTAACTTAACTGAATGAAGAACACATGTTAATCTATGAAAAAATAAAAAATTATACACATAAATGTTGTTTATGTTTGTTTTTTTCTAACCTTCATCTATTGTCATCTATTAATATTTCTCCTTTTTGGTTTTAAAATACCCAACAGTGCACATAACTTTTTTGTGCACCGTTTTATTCATGTCTGCGGAAATAAATGGGTAATATTACATTGCACATTATGGTCAGTAAAGCAGTACTTAATAACAGCTATTTCACCAAATACTTTGTTACTCTTACTTGTGTTGTTTAGTTACGTACTAAATAATTATACTGAAGTAGTGCTGCTCATCATTAGAGTATCACATCTGGCTACTACACCCAGCTATGATGGCAGCTGTTAGTTTAAAAAAAAAAAAAAAAAAAAAAAAAAAAAAAAAAAAGCTGTTAGTTTATAAAAAATATTAGATATTCCAGAAGTAAAACATTGGTTTACAAAACATTTAAAAAAAAGATTGACCTTTAAAAATAAAAGAAAAACACTAGAAAACTGGTAAGTATGTAAAAAATATGTCCTGTTTTTCAAGTGTAGTTTTACATCTGGTTATGTTGAACCATAGCAGTCTGTGCTGTGTGGTTCTGTAGCTTGTACGATGCATTGGCACTGTACCAGCAAATGGGACAGAAAGATATTTCGTTTATGCAATACGGAAGAATCTTCACTCCGTTCCAAATATTGCAAATGGATAGGTGGAGCTGTATCATGAAAATAAATAAACAAAGTTTGATCATAAAATACATTTCTAAATTAAACATGTCATCTACTTTTCTGTTTTTAACTAATGGAGCCGAGCAGGATAATAATTAGCTATGCTACATGCTAAAATTAACTTTCCCCTGTATGAATTACGACTTTCACTAGTTTACAGCTGTTAATCATATTTTCAACCTAATCTAGAAAAGCGTATTGATTTACTATGTGAAAAAAATTAAAAATACCTTTCACTGACTTTGTGAGTTTTGCATTGTTTGTGTGCCGAACACCAGCGCACGAACTTTTGAAACTTCTTTCTTCTTCCTTTCTTCTTAACCCCTCGTCTTTAAGGTATTTAAGATAATGATTATGAAAATAGCACCCTCTTCAGTTCCGGAATGAAACAGTCCCATTTCCATGTAAGGTATGGGACTGACGGAAAAGTCTGTCCCCGCCCATTTCTGTTTGCTGCAGCGAGATGTAGTTGGGTACAGTTAGCTAAAGGTGTTTAAGGTCACGTGTCTGAGCACGCACAGGAGGAAAGGAGAGCCGTTAGCTCACCGAGTTTTAAACGAGCCATGCTGGAGGATAACTCGACGAGGTTGTGAGTTTTATTTGATATTTATCTTATCTTTGTAATCAAGGTTGATTTAACTATAGTTGTTACACCTTTGACCTCATTAATAGCTAGAATTAAAAGATAACTTTAACTGTCAGTTAAGCTAACCAACTAACTATATAACGTTATCATATTCTCTGTATTTTTAGATTTTCAGTTTAAATGGTTTCATGTTTTTATTTAATGCTACTTGTTTTGTTAATGTTTTGGACTAATTTAGGTTAAATGTTGGAAGAATAGCCAGTTTAGAAACCTGTCTCTGGTCGGGGCGTGGGAAGGTTGCAGTAGTTTGTAGCTGTGGTGTAGAGTGCTGTACGGTGGCTCCGGTTTCTACAGAACAACTTTAAGTAATTCTCACCATATTTCTATTAATTCTTTATCTTGTTAGCAGTCTACAAAGAACAAATAACCCCGCAGAGATTACCTTCTTGTAAATTAACTTGTAAATTTCGGTGCTGATTGTGTGAAACTTAGACGCTCGCAGTATCCCTTAATCTCCACCAGAGGCCGCTGTAGGCTGCAGTTGTACCAACTCCGTTGTAAATTCTAATCGTACATTTCTATTAAATATAATCGAATGAAAGTGCAAAGGTTCGTTCACTAACAGCTAGCAGTTAGGTTGACATCTAAACATAAATATTAGGAAAGCTCCTTTAGTGTGTTTAATCCTTTTAAAGTCCTATTGGAGGAGAGCGCACCGCGTGACCGGAAATAAACAGACCGGCTTGTTTTTAGTTCTTGGTTTTACTCCTTTATCTTTGGAATTGTCGTCGTAAAACAAGTTTATTGCTCTGTAATCAGTATTTTCTATCGTAGCTGAGCTTCTAAAGGCTAAAGATTGTGAACCATGAGTTAAAATGAGGTGTAGCAGAATGACTTGGTCTCCTCAGCCCCATTTCAGGTTATCGCTTCTCGGCCTTTTGGCTAAGATCAAGTGTAGTATCTGTTCTTATCAGTTTAATATCTGATACGTCCCCTACCCGGGGACCATATATTAAATTGATTTTTGGAACAGGGAGATGGAATAGGGGCTTGCTCCGTCCACTCCACGCATCGACCTGGTATTGCAGTACTTCCAGGAGCGGTGCACCCCCCAATAATGTTTAATGATAATATAGTGACATAGCATGGCTTGTTATAGAGCTTCATGTATAGAATAATATTCTGCATGTCTGCTATAAAGAATGCATAGGATATTTTCATGTCAAACAAAATTTAGAGAGTGGGACTGTTTAACCAGAATGACTTTAAAATCCAACTCAGCAGCTTTCTTAAAGACGTCAATGAAACCACAGGTTAACCTTTTAAACACAACAAAACACCAACATTCAACAGAAACTGTGTGGAAGTGTTCAGCTAGAAGTCTAAACACAAACAGTCCAACCAAATGAACCATCCTGGATATTCATGAAGAACTCATAGGAAAGTTAAAACTATATAATGATAGATGTCACTATGTGAAAGAAGAATATAAGCATCATCAATCAGTGATAGTCATTTATTACTAAAGTGCTTCTGTGAAATAACTTTGATCAAGGTCAATTCTAAAAGCTCCAAATGCTGTTAAGAGTTCAGCAAAGCTGCACTGAGGTTCACCAGCCTGAAGGCCTTTATTACTCTGCTTTGAACTGATAGTCAGAGACAGCATCAAGCTGGAGTTAGCAAATAAAATATATATACAATCATGGAAAGAAATGATTAGACCACCCTTGTTTATTCAGTTTCTTGTTCCAGAGGAGGTCTAATAATGTTTTCTATAACTAGATCTATCCAGAAAGGCCTGGGAGGCGGATCTATGTGAACATTTCACTCTACTCACAACTCGAAAGTAAAAGTGGAAAACAAAAATTAATACTTTAACTTTTAGTTTCATTACATCCCAACAGTGATATTGGTCTTTTTAAAATGGAAGCCAAACAGAATAACAGTGAATGTGAGAACGATATGACTATACATTGAAAAAAATAACAAACACACGTAACTATGGGTTAATTTCAAGGGTCACACAACCTGTAGGGCAAAATATTTTCAGAGTAGATGTTGTTTATGATGCTGTTATTCTCAATGAGACTTTTGCTAACAGCTTGGATATTTATTGATTTATTTCTCCTTTAGGTGATTCTTACGGATCCATCAGCAGCAGCTTCCATGTGGGCATCTCCACAGTCTGCCAAATCATTCCAGATGTGGTGACTGACATCTGGACTGCTTAGTGGAAGAGTTTCTGGCTGTACCAGGAACAGAATGCTGGAGATCCATTGCTGAGCCGTTTGCAGAGCAGTGGAACTTCCCTCTGTGTTTTGGTGCCCTGGATGGGAAGCAGGTCTGGTTAAAGGCTCCCCCTTCCTCTGGCTCTCTCTTTTTATTACAATGTAGACCACTCTATTGTTCTTGCTGTTGTGGACGCCCACTACAGGTTTCAGCTCATAGATGTAGGAGGGTACGGCAGGACAGGTGATGGGGGAATCTTGGCCGACTCCACCTTTGGTCAGGCTCTGAGAGAGAGGGTGGTCTAAATCTGCCTCCTGACCAGCATCTACCCGGAGCTGAGAGGAGCCCAGCCCTACGTCAACGTAGCAGATGAGGCATTCCCACTGCGGAGGAACTTGATGCGGCCCTTCCCTGGACGCAGCAGACTCACCCCAGAGCAACGTGTCTTCAGGGCTCGGCTGGTGGATGAGGATACATTTGGGATTTGGTCTGCACAGTGGAGAAGCCTGAAATCCATCCTGAAGTAGCAGAGAAATGACTTTCTGAGAGCCACAGCAGACAGCAGCGTCCCTGCACTGAGAGGAGCTGGAGCACAAGAGGAGCCACTCCCAGGTGTGAGACGCATGGGGGCAAACAATGCAGCCAGAGATGCAACAGATGCATTCGTGGCCTATGAGAGGGAGCGGTGTCATGGCAATCCAAGGAGTAGTCATGTCCTCCACAGGACTGACCCAAAACGGCTCTTTTCAGAGCCGCCCACAAAAAACATAAGAGCCTAGATTCTATTATTGTTGAAACATTTTGATTATGGGACTTATTTACATTCAGCAATACATCTAGATATTTATTTCTAGCTAAAGTGTTGTATGTTATGAACCTGTCTTCCTTTTATTAGCAGAAAACAGCTTCCTGATGACGCTGCTGGGTTCAGGTTAATCACACACAGTCAATATGTGACCTAAATCCAGGATGGAGTGAAATTAATTAAACACAATGCAAACAAATCATTGATTCTT